GCTCTCACCTCTATGTGTCTTGAGAAAGTTGGGATATGTGAAGAAGGACATTCCAAAGTACCTGTTCTTGCACAAATGGCAAATAAAGGTTCATGTCACACTAACAATGTTTGGGTTTACTGAAATGGAGTCCAGGTGTGAGTCACACAGGAATGAACAGCCAAAGGGCAGCATTAAGAAGAAAAGAAAAAAATGAAAAGACACAGGGAATGATTTCACGTGTTACTGAGGCATGACCCCAGCGGGGCCCCCAGGCTGTGGGGTCAGGATGAATCAAATCCCTTCATCATCTCCCTTTGCCTTATGCCACCTTCTTCCTGTTCAGGCTGTGCTCTTTTTGCTGGTAAACTGGCATGATCTGGATTAAAAATCATAATGCTTATCAATCTGTAGGAAGCCAAGAGTCATATCAATTAGTTAGCAGGGAAAGACTAAAATAGATGTGGTATTTTTATGGTACATAAATTTAGGCCTCACATGCAGATATACACGCAGAAGCATAATCTGCAGGTAACAATTCAGAACTTCCATGAAGATAGATGCCGGATGTGCAGGAATTCTTGATTGGAGCGGGACCAGTGCTGATATTTCCCAGTGTGACTGTCCTTGTTTGGTCGTGTGGTGTCCTTCTGCAAGACCAAACCGCGATGCCACGCCTGAGCGAGAGGCCTGTGGGGGCGGGGGGCGGGGGGCACTCTGGGCATATTCACACACACTCCTGCTGCAGGATCTCGCAGCTCCACCCACCCATGCTCCCTCTCTGTTATTTCCTCTCCTTCCCTCCTCCTCTTCCCTCTCCCTCTGTTCCTGCCATCATCCATCTCATTTTTGACTCTCCCATCTCTCCTGTCCTCTTTTCTCTTTTTCACCCTTTCTCTCTTCGATGGGAACCGGATCTTACGGCTACGTTCCTTTTGAACGGCTCATCTTTATTTTTTTCTTAGAGGGTGGGGGTTACTTGGTGTATCTGTGAAATAATCGCTGAGATAATGAAAGGGTGAGATTTGGATCAGATTTAGACTTAGACATCCCACCAAGTTCATTTCATTTTGCATGTATGGACTAAGTTTAGTGGCACCAAATTACTCCTATTGCCAGACATAATATCAATGATCTGCACTGTAAACATTACACAAGGTGACGCCCTATCCCTCTGCATGAAATGCGTTATGTAAATAAAGTTGCCTTGCTTTGAATACAATTCATGTAGCACTTAATATTAGAAAACAAGTATAATTTGTGCAAATCAGAGATATAAACTGTTATCAGAAAAACATCTCTGTCAGTTGTTGAGCTGCTGAGTAGGAGGTCACACTCCTCGAAAACGGTGTGTTGACAAGCAGCGACAGACAAATCCTGCTCATTCTGCTTTTATGGAACCTAAAACGACTACCTCTTGTGACTGACTGGTTGTCACTGTTCATGTAAAGGGGGGGGGGGGAGAAAATCTAGGGCAAGAAGTGAAATTTGGGCACAATAATGAAAATAATGGTTCTCAAGTACCCCCCCAAGTTACCTTTGTTCGTACCAAAGAGCCCTTCAAAAGAATCAGAAAGAAACACCTCACCCCCCCGGTACCCTTCCCTCTTCCTCAGGCCCCCCACCCCCCCAGACCCCTGACATATGGGCTTCTGCTCCCCCCCACCACCCCTCCCCGGGGCTCCATCTTCCTCTGGAGCCCACAGCCTTAAACCTCGCCTGAAAGCCCACTGACCCCAGAACAGCTGCTGAATGCAGAGGCGCAACACCATCTGCATTAAATATTGCAAACGCTGCGCTGTGACCCTCTGCTCCTGTGCCTTCCCACACATGCCCCCCCCCCCACCCCCCTTGAGGCCGGGCACTCTTACTGCATCCTAAGCCGAGTTCTCTGTTCCAGCATCTGGTTCCTCCTTTACAGCAGTAGGATCAGGCAGCATATGGGGCCTGACATTCCAGGGATCTCACACGAGCGTCACAAATACAAACCCATAAGATGGGAACCTTATTCGACCATAAAACACGCCGCTGGAAGCCCAAAGCCAGAGTGTATGGCCCAGACATCAGTGTCATATTCCCAGGAAACGGGCCATAGTGAATAAACATCACATAGTGCCACCCTCCCCCACCATAAAAAAATATACATACGCTCCACATTCTGCCTGTGATGGGGCCGTATTACAGCCGGCCCTCTCTGAGGGACCCCCGCCCTCTCTGAGGGATGTACGCAGCTCTAATTGAAGCCAGGGCCTGTTTTTGTTTGAATTTCGACGGTCTAAAGTTACACGGACTTGGGGCTGTCATTACGCGCTGGCCAGGCTACAACCTCGCTTGCGGTGGGAGGCGGGGTCTCCGCAGTCACGGCATGCTTAAGCCGGACTGGGAGACCAAGCTCTTCTGCGTCCTGACAAGGACAGATCCTGGCATCTCCAGCACTTCCCAGGAATCTTTGTGTCACTACCTCCATATACTAAGATACCTTCAGTCAGCATGTTACACTGTTTGTTGTTTTCAGTTGTTAAAATGAATCAGTTCTGTTTACGTTTTATCAACGACAGTCAGTGTAGTTCCAGTTGTATACAGTGTTCCCTGAGACCGGATCCTGGTAGGGACAGGCGACCCACCCTGGATAATCGCTTATGGAAGGTGGAGAGTCAGAATGTAGATCCTGCCAGTGAAGGTTATGTTCCTGAGGTTACTTTGGTGATGCTCTTACTTACTGATAGGGCCCAAATGTAGTGTTGGCAAGGGTGGAGGTTTGGGGGGGGGACAGCGGGGACATTTCCGTACCAATTCTGTAGCAGAACTGTTTAGGGGGGAGGGAGCTTCAGGGCTGATTTGGTCCCAACGAATGCTAAAACCAGACCTACAGGGCGAGGGGGTAGCGGGGCTGACGGCCATGAGGGGTGAGGAGAAGGAACTGGGATTATATTTGGGGGTGGAACAGGAGATGGAGGAACATGCACAAGACACCCCCATTCCGGAGGGTGGGTCTCTGTCATGAATAAATGCTCTCGTCACCTGACTTTATCCCACTCCTGTCTCATCGCCCCCCACCCCTCCATAATTCGAAAATATGAAACTATTATACAATGAGCACGGCGGAGATACGCCCTCCTATTTTCACAGCGCCCCACCCTGACCCCAAAACCAACAAAGTACAAGGAGTTGATTGTTTTTAGCACAACGTTCAATAACAGGGCAAAAACAGAGCTGCCCCCCCCTCCCCCACCCAGGAGGGGGGAACAGCTCCCAGACCCAGCTCTCCTTACTCTGTTCCCACTTTCTGCAGATGTCCTTGGGACTGGCCACGGCCACGCCCCCCTTTGCCTACCAACCCCCCCCAACCCCCCACCGGATGCACCGCATGGACCGTGGGGAAGGAGGGGTCAGCAGTGTGACCTGAACGCCACACAAAGCTGCACAAACGCACCGAATCGGAACGAGCCAGGAATCTGGAAGAATTTAACACCCGCTGGATGTGCACACAGAGCATCTGTGTTCGGGACAATAAACGGGACAC